GTGAAACACTGTACAAATATATTTGCGTCATAAATCACACCTCCAGGCCTGTGTTCGCTGCCCCACGCTGGGGCTGTTTCACTTCACCCTGCAGTAAAAGGCTGGTCTGGAGCAAAGTCATTCCCAGCCATCAAAAGCAGCAGAGGAGGGAAAGCTGGCTGCGGTTTTTGCTCTGGGTCCAGCTCCCAGAGGCTGTGCAGATCCTGTACCATTAAACAAAGCTAAGCTTATGAGCTACGCTTGTGTTGCTATTGTCTTTGCTGCTGTTTTTGTTGTTAATACCTTGGCTGCTGCTATTATGTCTGGTGTTTTTAGCATAGGAGCCAAGAAAACAGCATTAACTACACAAGCTCAAGACAGCAGAGGCTGCCAGGCTGAGCAACCTCTGGTGCTGGGAAGCAAAGTGGGTGTCTCTCTCCACCTTGGCACTGGGACCCATGCTGGCTTTTGGCTGTGGAAATGCTTGTGCCTGCTGTGCCTGGGTGATGACCATGATAACCACAAGTGTTAGCAGCAGGTGCTCAGGGATGATTATTTTTTTTCATAAACGACACCTGCTGAAGGTAAGCTTGTGGGGCTGGACAAGCAGGCTGCTTGAAAACATGTAACCACTCGCACAGGGGGGAAAAGTTGGCAGATTGGGGATTATTTTCTAATTGCTTTGAATTATTCGCAGTATCAGTGGTTTCCTGTGACATCAAGCTTCTGGATATTGCCTGGTTGCCATAAACTGCAGGCTGTCCAACTTTCCATTCCCAGCTACGCCCAAGCCTCAGCTCATCCAAGAGCTGCCGCTGCAAAGGGCGTGCACGGGCTGGCAGCCGAGGGACTGATCGGTGAGGTGACACCGAGGCACCTGGCCCGGGGCACACAGCATGGACTTTGACAGATCCGCATGATTTCTTCCCATGAATTTCAAGAGAAATGATGGCAAAAGGGCTAATGAGTCAAAGGGAGGAAGTGAGAGCAGAGGCAAAGGGAGAGCTCTGCTTCACCGGTGCCAAGAGCTGGGGAGGGTTTCTGTCAGCTGGTTGGGAAAGCCGAGCAGCTGGAGAGCAAACTCCCGCCTGGCCTGCCTGCCGGCCTGGCCACGAGCACCACTGCCCTCTTTTGGGTGGAATTACAGCCCTGCATCTGTTTCGGCCACTGCATGCAGGCACGGGTGACCTCCTGGTTCAGCGTGCTTGGTGGCCCGTGTCCAGCAGCAGCAAGGTCTTGGAGGAAATGTGTAGCGGTGCTATTTGTCTCAGACAAGAGGCAGCATCCCTTTGAGAGACAGCTCATGCCCCCAGAAGTGTCTGATTACACTTAATTCAGCTTCCACAGCTACAGGATTTTTATCATGCCCGGTCACAATCTGACAGAGTCCTCACAGTGACCTAGCCATAAAATTTGACTTGATGAGTGACACTCTTTATAAGACCAACTATTTCATTATGAAACTTTTGAGGTTGGAAAAAAAAATCCCAAACAAATAAGAACATGCCACTATTAATAAGGCCGTCAGTGCATTTTTACATATCCTCCTTGTAGCAATTGTGGCTGTGTGTAAAAGGCAAGTACGCCTTGTGATCGTGAGAGAGCGGCTAAAAAACATGAGTCACACAGTCAAACCTTGTGACTTGGTGGAACTAAGAAGGTCTCCTTAAAGGCAATTTGTGGAAGAATTGGAGAGAAACACAATTTTTCAAGGTCAGCCAAAGGCTAATGAGCGCTCTTTCATAGCGTGATTGTGTTGCCTGAATTTCTGTATTTCAAAGCCAGTCTAACTACTTTATTGCTGAAGCACTGTAACTGAAGAGGCTGCAATAATATTGACGAGTAATCCTGCCAGAACCTGAGATGGTATTCAGCATAATATGAAACATTTTCCCCTTGCCTGGCTGGGTACGGAACAAAGAGTTAAACAAACGCGTGGTTCCCCCGAGTACCACTTATCTTCCTTCCCAAAGGGCATGCGTACAGATGCTTTGTAAGTTGGGTTGTCAACAGCTGAGGCCTGTGGCCAGATTCACATGTTCTCCACCTTTTTGCTTGCGAGCTGCAGGAGACTCATCTCCAGAGGGACAGTTTTTCATAACTTAATTAGATTGGCGCCATTCGCACAGCTCCAGTTTCAGGTTGGCTCAGCTTTTCTTCTGCTCCAGCTCTCCAGTGCAGGGGATTACAGTAGCACTGAAACTGGTCCTGAACTAATCATTTGGCAGCCACCTCAGGTCAAGGAGGCAGTTCGTGGGACTGCTGTTGCTAAATTAGAAATAAATAAATGATCAACGCACGGCCCTTAATGAGAGACCAGGAATGAGAAGCAAAATGGTCTTGCAGCTCTGCACTTTGCGCATGCATAGGAATAGGTTGCATTGCTTTTTTTCCCATGAATGAACCACTCTAGTCTAGTAAACCACTTCAGCTAAAGCAGAGTAAACTCCATTTGCAGCCTCTTAGCATGGATTTACACCGGGCTTACTTGTGTGTAGCTGGGAATCAGCCAGCCTGATCAGAATTCAGCCGAAGAAGAGGTAGATTTCCCACAGCAGTTTTCAGTGGTTTAACTGAACCAGTTTAGAAATGGTTCAGATCTTTAGCATAGAGATGAAGCCCTTAGCCTTGGCTGGTTGTGTGTTTCACACTACTAAACTGCAACCCAAGGAAAAGGAGATTTACAAGCAGAGACCGGAGGAAAGGAAAGAGCAGGGACACCTTTCCAAGCCTAACACATAACACATCACCTCCTGACTGTGATGTGCAGATGTCCACTTCAGAGAGCCATCCATAACCATGGGTACCTGGGCTCCCTTCTGCTCCCTGCTGCCCACAGAGACCCACAGTCCCCAGGCTGCTCGGCACGGCGCATGCCATGCGTGGGCACACAGAGGTGGCCAGGTTTTACCTGGGCAGCTGGTAGCCAGAAATCTGCAAGCCTGTGGCTTCTTTGCCAGCTGCAGTGATGGATTGCAACCCATCCCCAGCAAGCAGTTTTGAATGAACCAGCTGATAAATGGCATTTGAACAGGAGCCAGATGGAATAAATTAAAAGGAACTTGGAAAATTTCTTCAAAGGAAGAAATAGAGGTGTTTGCTGGGATCGTGAAAAATGACCACTCTTGATAGAGATCTAATGGGAGGGGAAGAAAAAAAAAAAAAAAAAAAGTACACTACGGAAAGCAAAGCAAAACAGGGACAAATCCACATCCCAGATTTTCTCACCCACATATAAATAAAAGCAAGTAGACCTTGCTCTGTCCAGCCTGAGATTTTTGCTGCAAAAACTCTTCCTGCTTGCAAGACTGGGTTTCCCTACATACTGTGGGTATTGATTATTCCTGTGGCTCTGTGGTGTGAGCCATTTGTGAGCTGGAAGCCAGCTGTGGAAGTCAGCTAGCAGCCTGTCCACAATATTCAGTAAATACTTTATAAATGGATTCAAGCCCATGTTTTTTGGTGACCTTTTTTGGGGAAGTGCTCCGCTTAGTGTTTGAATTGCATGGATCATTGCTGGATCTGCACAGATAGCTGCGGGCATCGTTTGTGCCAATTTCTGAATCCTGACCTCAGGAGTGAGGCTGCTGCACTGTTTGTCTGCAGCCAGTAGGTAGGACATCTGTGCTAGCCACAGGCAGGTAAATCATGTACCTGGCACACACCTGGTCTCCCTCTGCAAACACTGGGGAAAAGAGAGAGAGGTGGGCCCCTCCAGAGGACAACTAGAAGAAGATGCTTAATTTAGGTACAGCGAATCATCCTCTGCAGGGCTTTTTATCTTTCTCTGTGGGAGAGGCTGGAGAGACTGGCCGAGGCACTTGGCTGTCTGCAGCTAGTGGCATGAATGTTTTCCCCACCAAAACCAATGAAAACATCCAGAAACAGAGCCATCCACGACCCTGCTAAGTAATTTATTCGCCCTCATTCTTAGCACTTGGTGCCAGCTTTCTCATTTGATCTGGCTTGAGTCAGCCTCCTTGAGCTGTTGTTATGGCTTTCTCTGCTAGACAGAGAAAGATTTAGGAGGGGCCGTCCTCTTCCCCTACGCTGAAATCCATGTTCCTCTGAATCCTCTCTGTGATGACAGGAATAAACTCATCTCGGAAAGTGTCTCACTCAAATGCAGCTTTGCTCTTTATTGTGTGGCTTCTTGGCAGGTTTTTAGCACCCCTTTGGCAAACACAGCTTGGAGCCTCAGCCAATGCTCCTGTAAGGCTGCAGCACCTAGTTTCTCCTGCACCCCACTTCTGCTGCACCCCCCTTCTCCTGCGTCCTGCTCCCAGCATGGGGCAAAGGGGCAAGCCAGGGGTTTCCACTTACTTGCAGCCCAGTCACGCTTCGCAAGCTGGTGTTTTCTAAGCAGAGCTCTTTGCAGGATGCCACCTGAGCCCCTTTTGGCGCAGCAGTCAGGCGGAAGGTTGAGCTGCTAAATTTGTTGTCCTTACCTATCGATGGACTGAAAGGCAATTTGACTTCTCACAGGAAATAAACTCCTTGCTGCTCCTTTCCCATACAGGGTTAATAAGTAACTCTTTCAGCCTTTTCAGCATCGACATTGCCTGTTTTATGATTGATGTCTATCTTTTCTAGGACATTTTTTTTTCTGTCCTTAGTGCATTTTTTGTGCTCCTTGTTCTTTGTGTTCCCATTGCAGGATGATTTCTATTGAGGCCTACAGCTTCCCTCCCTGCAACTCAGCATTTCACAACATCATCAATATTTTTTACTTATTCTTCCTTTGTTAGTGATCTATTTAGTAATTTCCAATTGCTGCTGAATTTGGATGAGTTTTTAGCTTAAGCTCTGAGCATGGTTGTGGAAAGGGTGGGGATGACTAACTATTCATTTCTCTTTTATTTTTAGTATGCCCGCACACTCTTCATTCAAATCTATTCTGTTTAGAGTTTTCATCCATATTAATTTGGCTTGCAGTTTTGAGGACCTTTGGGAAACCTCTCTGCTACAGCAGCCTTGTGTATTAATCATTACTTGTGTATCTCTTCTCTTTGTCCATACAGAATCAGGCCACGGTTACGAGTCCCCATGCAAGCAGCCACCTCCAACTCAGGAATCAGCAGTGGCCAGCCATGAGGTCCATTGTAAAGCCATCTCCTTCCATGTACAGTTGCTTCTTTGCTGCATAAGTATTATTTGCTAATTTTAGAAACTGTAGGCTGTTTTATTGCTGGATCAGTGGGACCTCAAGAATTTCTCAAACTGAAGTCACCTATAGTAACCATCACACTTTCTTCTTTCCTGCATGAAAGATGGCTCCTGAAAGAAGGAGTCAGAATTTTCTTTTCCTTGTCTGAGTCATCTTGAGAGCTCCCCATACTTCCTCTCTCGGGTTTCTCATAGGAGACCAGCATCACCCAAAATCAGCATCCCCTGCTCTGAGCGAGTCTCAAGTGATCAGCACCCAGGGCAGCCAGGACACATCCATCTTGACACTTCTTCCATGCCTGGTGAGACCACAGCATCATGGTGTTGGAGGGTTTTCAGCACAGCCAGGCTCATAGTATTATTTTTACTCTTATTTCCCGTTGCCAGTTACCTACATTCCCAGAATTAATGTGTGGAGATCTGAATAAATAAATAAATTAATTAATTAATTAAATGTTTATTCTTTGACTTCTTCACCAGATCAGTTTGCCTTGGTTTTGTCACACTGAATTTAAGATTCCTCCCTGCTTGCCTTGACTTACTAATTTAAAATCAACCAGAAAATACACCTGGGATGATCCCAGCCTGGTGGTCTGAAGTGCAGGGCACCTGGGTGTTTGACAACACCAGTGCTGCCAGATTCACACCCGCCAACATGGTCCTGGTATTTTCTGCCACCTCCAAGCTCCTGCTCAGAGAAGCAGGGGTCTCTATCACTTGGGACTTTTCTTCTTCATTCCTACTACCATCATTCCTACATGCTGCTACCTGCTCGGGATACCTTTAATACCAATAGCTTCAATACTTTGAATACACATCAAAATACCATGGATGAAATTTTTTGGAGTTTTTTTTTCTGTTTGTTGTTGTTGTTAGTAGTGGTGGTTTTTTGTTTTGGTTTGGTTTGGTTTGGTTTTTAAGTTACCAATTTATTGGGACTGTGAAGATTCACAATAGCAAAAACACAGGCGACTTTTGTGGCCTATCAAACATAAATTGGCTGAACAGCCAAGTGGTTTGCTATAAAGTACATTTCTAAATGAATAGCTTTGTACATCAACCTTCCAAGCTGTTGTGAAAGTCCTGTTGTGTACCAACCATCAGCATTTTAACATCTTTAGAAATCATGCCCTACAGGTTAGCTTCAGTTTAGGCTTTTTGCTAGCATGGTGATCCCCACGCTACAGCAGTGCAGATGCTTAAACTAATCCAGCTGTGGAATAAGAGTCTGCTTTGCAATTCTTTATTTATTTTTTTTAACAACCATTTCTAGCCAAATAAGACTATAACTTAATTGCATGAGTTTATAAGTGAAAGGAAAACATAAACATGTTTTGTTTCAATATAGCATAACCAACTATTTAACTGATTTTTAGATCCATGTAGGCATTTCTGCCATGAATACTTTATAATCACAACTGAAATTGCTGATGACTTTTTTCTGCAGTTCCCTGCAGTTGTTTCCATGCAAATGATGCTTGATGTGAATATGATAACCCAACAGTAAAACTGTCTGGAAAGAGAAACAATAAATGACATATTTCTAGTGGGGTCTGGTTCTGTGAAAGTTGCTCTGGTCATCTCTCAAAATTGCATGCATAAGCAATTTATTTATTTATTTGTTTGTTTGTTTGTCTCCATTTCGTGTGCTCAGGTTTGCGTATTTGAAAGGACCTGGTTTCCAGAAGGCATTCACAGTCTAACTCCTTGCACTCGGATTGCTTTAAAGTACTTCAAGTTGAGTCCCAAAAAAATGAAGCCATCAATAACCATTAGTCATCCCATTGTTTGTTTGTTTGTTTTTAATCAGCCCCCCCTTTAGAAGCATGTGGACATTTTTGTTTTTCCGTTCATATTTGAAAGGAAGCCAGATCTCAAAATCTGGAAATCCTTTGCCAGATAGGCCTTCTTCCACTCTTTATGCAGCTCTCTGCTGGCTTCATTGTGAGTGCCCCAGATGAAGCCATGAAGAGAAGACCAAAAAGTGCAAATGCTAGGAAATGAATTGTGCTTTTCACAGCTATCACAGCACTCTAACCACGGACGAGTTATGCTTATAGATAGTGGGCCGACATGATTTACCATTAGCCTGACTTTCTGCCCCATCAGAGCAGTACCTGGTGAGTGCCGGAGCACCTGGGCTCTCGGGTGGATCACCCGCACTCGCTGCGGAAGAAAACCTTTGTGCAAAAAGAGCAGCAATATCCGGGCTGGCCATCCACTTCCATTCTTCTTGGCCTCAGCTGATATATTTCATATGTTTTTCTAGCTGAAGCCAGGCCAGGACTTCTCCAGCTTTGACAGAAGGGCTAAATGAGTGCAGGGAGTTTTATGTGCCTCTTCCCACAGCCTTCCAGTAAGTGTACAGGAAGTCATTGATCAACAGGATTTAGGCAACGTGCACCAGAAAGGTACGCGTGTGTGGCCTGGTGGCCTCCGCAGCATGACACCGCCTCTGATTCAATAAGCCCAGGGATAAGAGGCTAGGTGGTGAGCCACCCACACCATGTGTGTGATGCATCCCCGCAGCAGTGTGGTCAGTTTTAAAGCCTGCTCCGTAAAGCTGCATGCTCTTACTAATGCTATGGTTTGGATGTGGTCATTGCAGAGCGATCTTCCTGGAAGATTGCTAAACACACTGTCACAAACAGAAGGCAAGCTCCCTGACCCAGTGGCTTATACTTCCCTGGGAGCAGGAACAGGCTCTGACCCCTGGCAGATTGCTCGGGTTTGTTTTCTTGTCCCGATTCACAGAGCTCCTCTGTGCTGTGGCGCAGGAGAAGACGTGGAGGGCATGACATCTGCTCTGCAGGCTGCAGAGCATTAGGGCCACACAGCACAGAGGGTGAAGGGTTGCAGAGGAAACCTCACAGCAGCAGCTCACGTGTGTTCGCAGGAAGGGGACAGTTCGATTTTTTTCACTTTTCCTGTGCCTCAATTTCCCCACTTGGCCACATTTTGCTGCTCAGGGTAGGATGCAGCTGTGGCGGGGAGGACAGCGAAGGGGTTGATGTCAGTTCAGCAGCTCTGTCATTGCATGACTCGGAGCATAAACTAATGAAGTGAATCTGTTTTCCTTCTCTCTTTCTTTCTTATCTGTGCTTTTCCACATACAGAGGAAATGGAGAGGGGGAGGCAGTGAGAGGCTGTTATCATGCAGCGATGAGACAGGCTGCGGAGGAAAGGATGCTACTCCTTCAGTGATCCCAAATGTGCTCCCAAATCTCAGAAGAGCTGAGTATTTCAGCTGAAAGAGTCAACTATGAAATAATCGATTCCCTGGACACCAAAATAGTTGTCATTATTGCACAGCATCAACAGCCCATTGAGCTGAATGGGGGCAGCCCATGCAGGGCTAGTGTTTCAGTCTGTCCACCTGCAGCCTAGTAAATAATGGAGAGGATAGTTTACTGTTACAGAGGGATCGGAATTGCCTGGCTGAATGGTCACAATCCAAGGAAATGTGTTTTAATTTAGCTAAATGAAAAGTAATACATCTGGGAACAAGGAGTTCAGGCTGTACCTACAGGACAGGAGACTCTGCCTTGGAAAGCAGGATTACGGGGTCATTGTGGTGACTACCTCCACGATCGCTGCTGGTTCAGATGGGTGAGAGGGCTCATATGGTGCTGGGAACCCAGGAGCAAATGACCTGACGTGGGAAGGCAGGAGCACCCCTGGGCTGCAGCAGTCTTACCTGGTGTCCACCTCCTAGCAGGAATATAGGAATGCCAGGGAGAGCCACTGAAGTGCCCTGGTGGCTGGGAAAATTATTGTTTCTGTCATGTAAGGTTTAAAGTGTGCAAACAAGTCATTTTTTTCCAGGGAGACGTTTGGTTTGTCTTTGTGATGCTGGAGAACAGAATTGCAGCGAGGGAACACAGAATTACACTAATTCAGCTGTGGCATGAGACCCTCCTTCAGAGATATGCCTGAGTCCACCTTTGAAGAGGAATATATAGTCTGTATTTCCCTTATTGCTGCAGCTCCATGCTGAGACAGGGACTGTGCTGAACTTTTAAGGTTTTGGGCCACAGACTCTTATTCTCCAGTACAAAAGAAGCAGCACGTTGTGGGGTATTGTAGCCTTTTCTTCATCTTCTTGTGAAGTACAGGAAATTGATTGGGAAAATCCTTTGGAAGGTATGAGCTGGTCCAGGACGTCTCTCTGGCCCTGGCACATGGCTGTGATCCTGCCCAGGACTGCCACTGTCCTGATGACTTGCTGATCCCGGGGGAGGTCTGCATCTTCCTGCAGCATGGTCTCTGAATCACCTGACAAAATCACCTGTGCACAATACACAAGCTGGTTGGTCTCTTCTGGCTTTTACCCATGGCACAGACCAGCTAAGCTTTTGGAGGACTGTGCTGCTTCAGTATAGCTGAAGTCTTCAAGCTCAATATTGATGTTGTTGACCAGACAATGAAGAACATGAGGTCCTATTGGCTTGTGAAAACAGGCTCATCTTCAACCCTGGCAGCCGGGAGACTAGAAAGAAAGTATCTAGTCACAATGAACAACAGATCCAAAAAATGTGTTTTTCTCTGTGACTAAAAGACATGTGATCTTAAAGTATACAGCGAGGGACTGAGGCCTCATAGGCAATACTCCTGGGACAGAGGCCTACATTATTGCCATTCACTTTGATCTCTGTGTCAAGCATCTCGGTTACTACTTCTGGACGGCAAGGCAGCAGCTGGCTTTCCCAATGTTTCTTAATGACTTTCTTTCCCATCAAGAACTGAAGAAAAATATTACATGCTATGGCAGAATGTAAGTCTTTGCACATTGTTTTGTCCCACTACAACCACAGACTGGCCTCATCTATGGAGGTTGCACTATGACTTATATTTGAACTTTTCCAACTTCAGACCTGGGGTTCTGGAGAACATTATCAAGAGAAAGGCCAGCTGAGATGGAGGGGTCTGACTCCAGCTCCAGACCTTCCCAAACCGTGGGAGTGCTCCTCTTGTGCAACTCTGGTTCGGGCCCATCTCTGAATATAACCATAAAGTAATAATAAAAAAGAAAGGAACCAAGAAATAGCTGTAACCTTCCATCCAACAGTGGTTGAGTTATTACTGCAGTTACATCACAGCTGAAACAGGTGCAAGGAAATAAGCCTCCCAAAAGTTTCTATTCAGGAGGGAAATGACCGAAGAAAGCAGAGGGAAAGGAGGAAGGCGGAGGTAAGGGTAGGAGCCAGGGGACAGAGCGGAAGTTGTTTCTCTTGGGATGTGGCCAACTTAGTAGCTGTCTGAACCCAAGAGTTGTCCTGGATTCTCCTTCTGTTTCTGTCTTTGCTTTTTCCACTTTCAGGATGCCTGCTAGCAGTGTGATAATGCCACTCTTGGCTTGCCTTCTGAATGCCCTCTCACCTGGGACCTCCACAGCCTGCTGAACCATGTTTAGACCTGATGCAAGCAGACACACATCCTTCCAAACATAATTTTTGCAATTTTCGAGGAATCCTTCAAGGACTCATCAGTTCAAGTAATTCCCTCTGCCCCAAAACTATGGGGAAGGGAAGCGATTATGAGAAAGCTCATGTTCCTCCAGCAGCTGCAGCCACTTTGGGTGGGATTCATCTGACTAAACATAGATGTCTCCATGTGAGCTAGTCACGCTATGCTCCCTTTATGGAGGGGAATATGGGGAAATATAGGCACAGCTATGAGTCATCCCCTCCCCAGGTTGGTGTCTAAAACAGGTCAGGCGAATCTTGCCCATTTCTCTTCTCTGCTTGTAAAAGGAGCTGCAACGAAGAGGCCAAGTGTAGGTCTGTAAAGTTGGATGAAGCCCATCCTTTATCTGGTGTCCAAACTGAACAATTTGGTCTGCGACAGAAGGGCCAAGCTGTGGTAAGCACATTATCAGCAAGCACCATAAAACCACGTAAGAGTGGGGTGAATTGGCATATGTGGGCTTATTTCAACATGTGCTTCAATGTGGGACAGGAGGCAAGAAGTACAGTGTCAGAGAGGAAATGGCCTAAGAAAAATGCCTGTGAAAGTCACCATGGGACGTCACTCTGGTGCCAAGGCTATGTTTGTTTTGAACTAGTGCAGGTACCTCTGCTTTCCTGTTTGCAGGCTAAAGTTACTGCCTTTCTGACACCAATGTAACTCACATTGTCACCAGTTACTTTCCTGCTCCTGGCCTCTCTCCTTCCCACCTCTCCTTTGCAGGCTTCAGTGAAGTAGGCCCAACTTCATATCCCTAAAGAGTTCATCATCAGTGGTGGACCTGTGAGCCTAGAGCACTTCCACGTGCCATGGACACTGGGGCACCCTCCAGTGGGACAGCGGCCGTCTGCATCCTGCACTGTAGCGCCTGATGGCTCAGCTCTGCACATCTCCTCACCCCAGGCCGCCTGGCCTAGCACTGAGCTGTGTGTTGAAACAGAGGAGCATTTCCCATGCTACGTGTGCATCAGTGACGCGTGGG